CCATCCTCAGAGGCCTTGCCATTTCTTAGTACTTGAAACTAGCTATAAAAATTGGAGAATAACACAGAAAGAAAAAGGGATGTTTAGTTTGAATCATCAATACTAGATGATGCTGCCAGCTTTCAGAGGATGTAATTTTTCACTAGGATCCCATTTAGGGCAATTCAAATCTCAATCAAAGTTTTCTCCGAGATCTACTACTACTATTTCTTAGTCTTTCCCTATTCATACGTTTCAGGCTCCAAATCATGGTCAAAAACCCACAAAGAAGTTCAATAATGGATTTTAAGATTGATAAGGTCTAGGTTTTATTTAATCAAGAAAGTTAGAATCATCTTTAAGTTTTAGCAATGCTCTAAAACATGGTCCGCCCGGCGTGCCCCATTTTGAGTGAGCACCGGCCTAGAGGCGCCAAGGGACATGGGCCTTTTTTTCGATTTTTAAAGATGCCCAAAAGGGTAAATGGGGTAATTTTGACCCCAAAAAGGTTTAAATAGGATATGGGGGGCATTTTCAACCCCCGAACACTTCCATAAGCCTTTAATCTCTTGGCTATACCTATTTTTGAGAATCAAAAGTATCTTTGGTGGTTTGAAGAAGCTTCCTAAACTTTTTTTTTCTCATTGAAATTATTTTCTCATATGGAGAGTTGGAGACTATTACTATTACATAGCCTATTAGACTTTAAAAAATTTTAAATTTTGTATGGTTTGAATTTTGAAATTTTGAACAAGTTTATTCTCAATATGCGAAATGTCATATGTTTGTATAAAAAAAAGTATGTTACAGTATTTTCAAATGCAATATATTACAAAATTGACACAAATATATACATGTATGTATGTATATATCTAAAGAAATTGTACTACAGAGCGCCTCAAGTTCTGGGTGCCTGCCTAGGCGCTGGGCAGCAAGCCGGCCGCCAAGTATTTCTTGAAAGCTTGATTTTTAGTGAGATTTTCTTTCCAAATTCTCAAATAAAGATAGTTTCAGATTTAAAGAGTTCTAGAAAAATTCTCACCATATTTGTAAGAAATGGTTACCTAATTTTCAAAGAATCTAGAAGATTAAGAAGTTCAGGGAAGTAGAGATATCTTGAGTCCCAAGCTAAGATAAATAACATAGCCCACCTCTACCCCAATCAAATAGTTTAGTGAAATTCATCACCTTATCACTACGCCACCAAATTGATTATTCCCAAGTCCTATAACATAACCCACCTCCTTACCAAACCCATCACCCACACTCCTAACCCACCTACTCCAAATTAACCCCAATCCCGTCTCATTCCTTACAAATCCATCAAAACCTTTGTTGGACCTGTAGTTTTCTACCAACTTCAACCCCATTGACACCCTCCAAAACTAACCTTCATACCCTACAAACCCTAACCCTCATTGTTTCCTTAATCACATCTAACCCTTGCCTATCACCTTACCTTCAATCCTACCTTATTTAGACCTTGACCCTATTCAATCTAGGAAACCTCAATACCTCCAAATCCCTGTAATTACATTTTATGTGAGTGCGTACAGCATGCGCTCACTGGAGCACGCTGTACATATAACTCACATTGTAGAAAACATCCAAACTACATATAATTTTTATACATTGATTCCACATTTTTATACATTGTTTATAGTTCTTTTAATTTTTTTAAGTGACCCGAGTTGCACCCAAGTACCCTACTCAGAAAGAAGCCAAGTCCAAGTAACCTGGCCGAGTCTGAGTAGACTTGACCAAGTTTTCAATCAGTGTCCCTAACTTATCAATTATCAGGAAAGATAAAAGCCAAAAGGCCAATAATGCGCGCATGTTCAGGTGAAAAACATTAGTTAAACAGGCTCGACTTAAAGCAAAACATCAACTGGTTTCAGAACATCCAAAACTGGTAATACCAAGCCAACCCCATTGAACCAAGTAAAATACATAATGAATAGCCAACTTTTGCAATAATATTTGGCTTTTCCCTAAAATAGTTTTCTCGAAAGTTAGGGTTCAATACAGATGAAACTAGATAAATTTTTTGCTAAATAACTAAATAATATAATGCAACATTAAAAAAACACGAAACATAAAACGCAAAGGTCATCAAAACAGCAGAGAAAAACCGCAGTGGAAAATGTTGCATCATATTTAAGTTTAGCTACACATCCGACAGTTTTGACCAGACCCGAACAAGTTAGGGTTACAAAAACCCCAACGTTACTATACCAGCGAAAACGAAATGGTCAATGGCAAAGACCTATTTTCTGTAAACTTCACATTCAAAAGTCCTTAGAACGTATGGAGAAACAGGTATGAAGGCAGAAGAAGAGAGAGCGGAAGGGGGCAGAGAAAGAGAGTACGAGCTTAGGGTTCCAATCCCCAAAACCAAGAAACATGACTTTGAACCAAAAATGGTTAATAACGAACACCACAGGTGAAAGGATGAACAGGTTTGAATTCATTCAAGAAGCTACAGAGAGAGAATTAGGGTTTGTAGAGCTTACATGTAGTTTGCCTCGAAGCTCTCTCTCAGAGCGGAGCTTGACGTAGATGCGCTCATCAAGGCTGAGCCTTATGAGGTCCAATGGTTCCTTCACTGCGCTCTCCTCTTCTCCAGCAGCAGCCGCCATCCTCTCTCTCCTCGCTCTCTAGACAGCAGAGCGCACTCTCTCTATTTCTAGGTCAGCATGAACTGGAAGAGAGGTTCGACGTTTCTCTCTCTTCCGAACACGAAGCTTGGTGGTTTGCCGCCTTCCCTCTCTCTTCGCTTCGGCTATTTTATATTGTTTTTATAAAATGACTCGGTTAGCATGCGGGCTAAGCCCTCATATGTACAATGCGGGCCCTTAATAAATATATTTTTGAGATGGATTTTTGGACTTAATTTTTCAAGATATATAATCTCCAACATGAGATCATGAATATGTAAATATAATTAAATTTTAAAATTAAAAATAATAATTCTATTAAAAAACATTTGTACAATTAGTTTCAATTGTTTTTAGAAGGACCACACACCTTTTTTTTTGACAAATGTAAATTATTTTATACTTTTTTAAGTAGATGGACCACATATTTGCATCAAGATTGATGTTTTATAATTGTAGACAACATATGTAGATATGTAGTCAAGCCCACATGAAACAATTTTCCTTTAGAAAAGTCTAGCATGAGCACATGGGCTTATAAGTCCCTCGAGGTTTTATATGATCTATTACTCCGTGGATATCAATTCAACGTGCACTTTTCAATTTAGGGGTGGCAACGGTAGGGTCAGCTTCGGTACCCAAACCCAAAAATAAATGATTATGGGATCCAGGCATGGACCCAAATAGTATTTGCATCAAAGATTTGGACTTAGACCTGACCAGCCAAGTCTAATTTTAGGACCTATACCTCGACCCAGATCGAGTCCACTTCTCGGGTCCCAAGTCGGGTACGGGTCTTTTGCCACCCTTACTTTACATGTTCCCAAACCACTCCTATAATAAAATCACAAATATTTTAATATTAAAATAATAAAACATAAGTAAAGGTCCTCCGATGTAATTTTTTGAAAAGTGCAATATGTATAAGGCATCCTGTAAGGCGTACCTCTAAATTTTACTCAGCGATGTAGGTCCGATGATGGAAATCTTATGATGGCTTGAAAATCTATTTTTATCTCAACTTATTAAATTTAAAAATTTAAAAAATAATATAGAACGAGTAGCTTTATGAACATTTAAAAATCTTTAAAATAAATACACTATTTTTAAAACTTGAATTTCTTTTTTCTTCGTGTGCACATATGTTAGTATAAAGTCACAACTTTATATGAACTTTTCTCCTTTCTTCAATAAGAAGTAATAACCAACATGTAAAGTGTAAAGTAATGGTCGAAAATATCTCCCCTAACATGCAAAGTTTGTGAAATAATAATGCATGAGAGAGAGAGCCACCTATCTCTTTGTTCTTATTAATAATAACACCCATTTAACCTTGGGAATGCATGCCTACAGCCTTATATCAAGAGAAAATTACAAAAAAACCCCAAATTTACACTTGTTATACAATTTACTCCAACCTAACTTTCTCTCAATTGTTTCTCCAAAATACACTTGCAATTACCCCTAACAAAAATAAAAATAAAAAAATACCTAAACCATTCTCCTTTATTTTTACCTTACCCACGCCTCTCTCTCCTCTATCCCATCAAAATAGAGGTCCGGCTCTGTGTAAGTGTTATCCGGCAGTAGGGCTCCGACACTATTGTAAAGTATGGTCCGGCAGTAGGGCTCCGGCACTGTGTAAAGTGTGGTCCGGTCGTAGGGCTCTGGCACTATATAAAGTGTGGCCCGGCAATTGCATAGGGCGGTCTGACACTTGAATAAGGCGGTCCGGCAATTGCAAAGAGTAGTTCAACAGTAGAAGTCACTGGATTCCTAGGCTTCGGCATTGGATAGGGCGGTCTGACACTATACATAAGGCGGTCCGGCAGTTGCAAGGAGTGGTTCAACAGTAGATGTTACTGGAGTCCTTGGCCCCGGCACCATCTAAAGGGCAATCCGGCAATACTCAGTTTGCAATGTGATGGTGAGCTCCAGTCCGGCAATACTCAGTTTGCAATGTGATAATGAGCTTCGGTAATGTGCCACTGGGGCCCAAAAGTAAACATCAAATCTAGCCAAATGATTTGTATACGAGAAGGGCATTTCCATCTTAAAAAATAAATTTTTTCCATTGGGGGTATTTGCATAGAAACTTTGTTTTGGGGAAAAAAATGAGAGAAAAGGTTAGGTTGGGGGTAAATTGCATAGAAAGTGTGGTCTTGGGGTTTTTTTACAATTTCCCCTTATACCGATGAGAGAATGAAACCTATTTAATGCTGGGAAATGCATATTTATAACAGATTTAGCCTTATCAGAGAGAGTGTTTGACTTCAAATGCGGACTTTTAGCTACCAGACGTGAATTTTGGTAATTGAGTTTGTATCTCAAATTTTGAAAGAAATTTGTTTTGAGCTATATGCATAAAATCGATTTTATCGAAATTTAGATTACATGACTGTGCCATAGTTAATTTGTCCATAGTATAAGGAAAAGTTTATATAAGGTGTCAACCCTATATTTAGAATGAGGTGTATCTTAGAAACCCATTGTGAAGGATTGTTTCAGTGCTGAAAAACCCTCCAATCGATCATCTAACCTTGAGATTTTATGAATAAAGAAAATTCTAAATCTTTAATATAATAATACATTGGTAACACAATATTCTTTTTTTCAAAATTTTTAAGTCTTTATAGATTTACGTGATTTGTATTTATTTTAGAACTTTAAATTTTACAATTAACAACACAAATATATATTAAATCCGTCGTAAGAGTTTCTCTCAGATAAACGAGGTGCATCTTGATTGTTTAAAAGCGTGCACCTTATATAAACCACACCTGGTATTGTACAATCCTTTTTAGTTATGGCACATGTTTTTATGAGTCCATGGACTCATACGTAGAAACGTGGGCTTTTTAATAATTTTATTTTGAAATAGAATTTAATCCTACTTTTTAAGGAATATATAATTTTTAACATGAGATTATTAATCTGTAAAAATAAATAACTTTAAAAATTAGTTTTGAATGATATTTTTTAGAAAGAAATATTTGAATCATTGATTTTACGTTTCTTGGGAAGACTATTATTTCTGAATTAGATCTACACTTTCTTTGGTGGATAGTGTAGATCTCCAAGCCAGCATAATAACAGATGCGCTCTTGGATGCACCGAACAATTCTCCTTTTTATTTATAGGGTTCTTATTTATATAACCGAGGCATGGACAATCATTTATTGGATATTTTTGTGTGGTTTAGTTCTTTTTAATTAGGAATCGCTTTTTGGAGGAAATTTTTTTATAAAAGTGGTTTTCATACAAAATTGTTATTTTAAACCTATAGTAATGAAAATTCCCCAAAGAAGATTTGACAATTCACAATAAACATAGCCTTTAAGACATCATCCCAAAAAATAGAAAAGCCTTTAAAATAATTTTTTTAAAAATTGAATATTGGCCTCTACCTTTTTTTAATTATTGAATCAACTACATAGAATGCAAGTTTGTAATAATAGAAGTAGCAACGAGAAAGTAGTTAAGATCGATAGTCAAGAAATACATAAAAGTTATTATTTTTATATCTTGAGTTAATAATCTAGAAAAATAGAGATATTGAGGAAGATGTCGCACATAGAATTAGAGTTGGAAGGGCGAAGTAGAGACGTGCAACTAAAGTTTTATGTAATTGTTACTTATTAATGAAGTTTAAGGAAAAGTTCTGTAAGACAACTGCGAGACCAACTTTACTTTATGGGATGAAATATTGACCGCTTAATTAAACAACATACTTATAGGATGAGTGTAGCACATATGAGAATATTGAGATGGGTGGGTGGCATGACAAGAAAATAAAAATTCATAATGAATATATTCAAGATACCTTTTAAGGTGACTCTAATAGGCAATAAGATAAAAGAAAGCAGACTTAGCTAGACTAGCCATGTGCAGCATAGATATAATACATCATCGGTTATAAGGTACAATTTGGTTTAAGTAGAAGGCTTTAAAAGGACAAGCAAAAGTCTTAAAGAACATAGATGGAAGTAGTGAGAAAAATGTAGTCATACTGAAGGTAAGACACTTGATAGAGCGGAAGGGTGAATAAGATTCATGCAGTCGACTCTAAATAGTTGGAGTAAGATGCTGATGATGATGATCGATGAATCGGCCTCTGACTTGGTAATAATCAATCAATCCCAATTCCCTTGATTTGACTCAAGTAATTATTATGTTGTCCCCGGTTATATTTAACCAAAACAATTTAAGAATTTGAAGATTGGGTGACCAGATGATTATGAGGTTTTTCAACTTGGAGTTTTAAGCCTCTTGATCCGGTCCAACTACTCAATCAAATAGTACAATAGTAATAGAAGTAGAAAAGAACATACATTTGAGGAGAAAAGAGGTGACAGGAAGGAGAAGACAAGTCGATTTGACACATAGCGAACCAATCAAAAAGCAAATTCACCTTCTAACATGCCTCTTCAAAGGCCATACACGAATGTGTTCTTTTCAAGGATCACCAACTAAGTCTTCGAACCCTTAAACCTTTGAGAGACCCTACACCACCAACTATTGAAGAACTACTTTTTAGTCATACGTATATTAATTGAAATAATAAAATTTATCATCACCATCGTCACAATTTTTTTCTAATTCATTAAGGTTTACTACATGAATTCTGGTATATTATTTTATTCTATTGATGGTCATTCTTTAGTGAGACCATAAATCCCCATATTTTTCTCCCCGCTTCCAACCATGTCTTTATAGGCATATATCTTATTCCTTTTGAGCCTTCTACGTGAACTAACTCTCACCTCCGAATATGTGTTGTACTAAATCTGTGTCACACATGACCAATTGACCTAATTCTACTATCTCTCATCTTATCACCTATTAGTGCCACAACAATTTTTTTTGGAAAGAATTCATTATGAAAATACCCTGCACGGTAGTCTCAGATCTGTGAAGGTATCATGATCGACCCAGAACCATGATGGTATTTCAAACACTGTGATGATTATTAGGTTACTGAATATTATAGGGCATCACGGCCGTTTAAACATCTTGATACCTCTCTTGACCATCACATAATTTTAAACACCGTGATGGTTATGAGTGTATTAGAACTTTAAAATCATCACGGTCTGTAGGGTGATGTGCCTTTAAAATATTGTGATGCCTCTCTTGGCCATCACGATATTGTAAATACCGTAATGGTTATAAGCATACTGGAACCTTAAAATCATCGTTTGTAGAGTGCTACGATGCTTTCTTGTATATCGTGACTTTTGAAATACCGTGATACCTCCCTTGACCATGATGACATTTTAAAGGTAATGGTAATTATTTGGGTTATGGAACTTTAAGAACATCACTGTCTTTTTCCCACGACCATCACGGTTCTAAGTCAATCGTGATGCGTACATGGATCTAATACTATCTTGAAGGGTATTTTTGTCAAAAAAATATACAAACATTGGATACAGATGGGGTTTTAGAAAATTTAGAGTTTATATCTAATAATTTAATATATATATATATGAGTAATGATCTTATGAGACCTTTCCACACCCATATATGTAGGACCTCAAAAGATCACCATTAAATTTGATACATAATTCTAAAAAAGTTATTACATGGGTGTGAGATTTGACTTATCTAGAGATATGTGTTAAATTTAATGGTGATCTTTTAGGGCCCTATACATATGGGTATAAGAGAGTCTCGTAAGATCGTTACTATATATATATATATTTTTTGATAAATTTTTTTTTTTCCCACAAACCTTGGAAATTTTGAAATCTCCGTGCGTTGAAGTAGCACGCTTTTTTATTCTTTTCTCAATTTGGAATTTGGAACGATCATAAGAACCGTGGTAGGAAAGAATACACCTTTTTGCAATGTTTTGTAGGAGCTTCTTGTCCTTTCCGAAAACAACGGGTAAGCTCTCATACTCTAGTTTCAACAATGTGGGGGTAAAGTTCGTCCTTTTCGTATTTCTTCTCTCTCTACTGTTAATGATTCATTGGACCTTGCCAGCCTTGTGTCACTCCATTACCAACTCTCCCGCGATTTCAGTCGCGCCCTCTCTGAAACCCTAACAAGTCGTTTCTTTCACGATTTAAACCCATCTCTTTTCCAGTTAATTTTCGGGCAATTTATCGTTGGTCTAATTCATGGAAGTTCGAGTTAGATTTTCTCCTTCATTTAGCAGATGAGTTGTTCTCTTCTTCCTCTCAGGGTTCTATTCATGCAATATCTCTGCTGCATATTCTGTTGAAATGTGTTATTTTTTCCCTGTGTAATTGGGTTTTATGAATTAAGGCTGGGGTGGAATCTGCATGTATCTGAGGTTTCTTTTGAGAATGGAACCTGACAGTTATATGGTTCTTCTTGCTCCAAATCTGGCTATTTTACTGGTTTTCTCTCCTATTTGTATGGAATTAATGCTGAGAAATTGATGGTTCTTTGCGAATGACCTGGAATTTGTAGGTTGTTCATGTTTAAGGAGTTTGAGGTTCTGGCGTTACTTTCCTAATATCCAGGGGATTAAAAGGTCTGTCTTTTAGGGTTTCACTATGGGTGTTAGATTGACTGTACTGGTTTAGTTTTATGGTTAATTGTTCAGATTGGTTTTATTAGAGTGTCGCAGAAGTGTTTTTTGGTTTTCAAATTATGTTAATTATAGAACTCGTGTGAGATCTTTCTTAGGAGCTTTTTCCTACAAAACTCTACAATTTCGTGCTGAGTTTTGCCACAAAGCTTTTAATGTGTTGTTTTTGCAATGAAGAAAACCAGTGGCGATCTCTGTGAGTTTATGCAATGGGGTTGCTTAAGATTGATGTAGAGGTTTGCCTGAAAGACTTCTATTTTTCTCTATAGATTTGAATTGCTTGTTCTCTTTTCAATAGTCAAGATGCAAGGAGCAGTATCAGCCGGAAACCTTCTCCCTGGTACATCTTTCACAGTACTGGATTTACAGGGCTCTTTAGGAATTCCTCAGAATCCAAACTCAATGGCTCACCACCAGCTCCAAGATGTGTATCCTCTTTCTATTGGGCAACATCTAGGAAATTCATTTAGTAGTGAGAGAGGCAAAAATTCAATGAGTGATGAAGAGGAGCGAAGCTTAACTGAAGATGGCATTGAAAACCATCAAGATGGCACTCCAGGAAAGAAGAATTCTCCATGGCAAAGGATGAAATGGACAGATGAAATGGTTCGACTCTTAATTACAGTGGTTTCTTGTATTGGGGAAGATTCTAGTCCTGAATTTGGCAAAATGGGTAGGAGAAAATCCACAGTGTTGCAAAAAAAAGGGAAATGGAAATGGGTTTCAAAGATTATGGCCAAAAAGCGTTGCTATGTTTCGCCCCAGCAGTGCGAAGACAAATTCAATGATCTTAACAAGAGGTACAAGAGGCTCACTGATGTGCTTGGAAGGGGCACCTCATGCAAAGTTGTCGAGCACCCGGCCCTCTTAGATCTCATGGACCATCTTTCTGAAAAGACTAAAGAGGATGTTAGGAAAATATTGAGCTCTAAGCATCTCTTTTATGAAGAAATGTGCTCTTACCATAATGGGAACCGGCTCCATTTGCCTCTCGACCCATCTTTGCAACAGTGTGTTCAATCAGTTCTCAAGGGTCGAGATGCCGATGACACTAGACGCCATGCCCATGATGATACTGGTGAAGATGACCATGATGATGATGATGTTGATGAAAGGGATGATGAGCTCGATGACCACAATACCAACAATAACAATGCTAATAATAGTAGTAGTTTTCATGGGGATGATGGGGGTTTTATTGGGGTTTCTTGTTTTCCAAAGAGAATGAAGCTAAGGCAAGATACTGAAGAGGTAAATTTTGCTAATTCTTTGAATCCCCAAGAATTAAATAATAGGTTGGGTTCTGAAGCCTTTGCTTCTGAGATGAACCAGATTATGCAAGATGGCACTAAAGCTGCTTGGGCACAGAGGCAGTGGATAAGGAACCGCACGCTTCAATTGGAGGAGCAGAGTTTAAGCATTCAGGCTCAGATGTTGGAGTTGGAGAAGCAGCGGTTCAAATGGCAGAAGTTTAGCAGGAAGAAAGACCGGGAATTGAGCAAGATGAGGATGGAAAATGAGAGGATGAAGCTTGCAAATGAACGCTTGACGTTAGAGCTGAAGAGGAAGGAATTAGAAAATGAACTTATCTGATACAGCTGCAGTCATTGTTATCAAATTGATAGTCATGGAAGGTTTAGCAAAATAGTGTTGTGGATATGAATGAGGTGTTTATTTATGTGCTTCTGAGTTCAGCAGTTACATGATTTGAAGTGGTAATCCTTCTTCATTATCAGTGGTTGGTTAAAAGCTGAGGTGCATTGATGGAGTTGCACTGTTTTGTTTGAGTTATCGTTCCTGACTCTTGAATATGCTTTTTAATGAGGTATGAGTAGTTCAGTTTTAGGGGTCATTGGTCATTTGGGAAGTCAAACCATAAACACTTGAGGTAGTTTCTGGGAGTATTTCTGTGCCTCTGTAGTTTTGTATGTTATGTTCTCTTCATAAATGTGTATGCCCCTTTCATATGTATGTACTCCCTGTTTAAGAAACTTGTACTTTGATCTCTTGGGTATCACGCCAAGATCATTGTTCTTTTGAGCTTTTATGCCAAAATCATGATATATCTTCTATCCACAATCATCTCATTTTTTTTGTCCATACACTTTGCTCAAAACTTTATTTCGCTTCCCTAATCCAAGAAATGTACCGTCTATCTAACCAAGTTGTGTGGATTAAAAGATTCTAATCAGTTAAAACCAAAATAGTTGTGAGATGAAGGGAAAATATAGTGCCGTTGCATTATTGGCTATCAAAACATAAATATAAATAAATTGGTAAATCATGGTTATTGGTTTTGGTCTTTGTGCTTGTTACGAAGGAGTTGAATGTCTTGGTAGGAATGACGCAGCCACTGGAAATTTAATGGTTATCTGAATTGCTTTCCTGCAAATCCATTTAGGACCAATGTGGATCTGTTGATGAGAATTTTGTGAATGAAATTTGGTTTTGCTAACCTTCCCACTTAAACAGCTGGTGCTTCATTTCTTACTACCAATGAGTTAGGTATTCCTAAGGTATATTTGTCATTTCAGGAAAGTGATGCTGAGAGTGTTGTGCAACATGATTGCAGGAAATTTTTGCTTGATACTGGCATTACACTTACAGTAACGTGTTTGAATGGAATGTGGAAGGGATTTCCTGAATGTTACCTTATAGATTAATCCAAGGACTTGCTTTCTGTAGTATTTTTTTACAAAATGAGCCTTGTCTATTGATTATATGATGCTATCGTCCACAATGTCCAACGTTTGACCTGTGTTTTCCCTCTGTTTTCCCTCTAAGAGAGCATGTTATGAAATTTATGATTTATAGCAAGTCCACAAAAGATGTTTACTATCTTGCCCTCTATTAGTATCATAGAAATTTTCTGAAGGACAAAGTTTATATAAAGTGTCCACCTTATACTATAGAAATAAGGCTCACCTCAAAAATCCATTGAAAAGGTTTGGTCTGATGCTGAAAAACCCTCCAATGGATCATCTTGACCTCAAGATCTATGGATTTGAAAAAAAAAGGATTTCAAGTCTTGAAAATAGTGCATCTTATAATGTATTATGTGAACTGCCCATTTTCAAGATTTTCAAGTGTTCATAGATCTGCCCGTTGGACACTAATTTTAATGCTTTAAATTTCATAATTAGCGATAAAAATAGATTTCCAGGCTATTACAGGGATTTCCTACATTGAAACATGTTTTGGCATCATTTGGAGGTGTGCCTTACTTGGATGGTTTAAGGTGCCAACCTTACATAACCATCACCCCTTTCTAAAAGGATCACTGATGTGGCTTTATTTAGACGAGAATTACAGGAAGATAGCCCCATAGTAGTTGAAATATATGTATATGGTGAACCATCAAAGAAATAAAAAATTATGCATGGCTGCAGATGCTATTCTTGTTATTGCTTCGCATTCTTTTTCTTCTCCACTTCTTTGAACATCAAGATTTCTGCAAGAAGAACCCTAAGAAGTTAGAACATCTAGGGCCATACAAATTTTGCAGATCCAGAGAATCATATTTTCTTTCTTCACCATTTCTTCAAAAACCGTATTTGTTTTTTTTTACTCTTTCAAAATGTTGTACTTGCACCACTGTAATCTTATGTGTCAAGCTTAAGCTATTTTGTAGCCTGCTCAGGTTTTTGAACCAATAGTGTACCAGATGTGGGGAACTTTATAAAGTCCCCAAATTGAGAATAACTGATATACAATTATGCATCACATTTATGAATTCATAAGTGGTATCACACATATACCCTGCAGAAATTCGTTTCTTCAGTATTTGTTTTATATTTTTTGAAGTATTTATTTATAGATGGTTTATGGAACAATGTGAGCGGCAGTTTGAGCAACTCAAAACTAACTGCTTCACGAGTTCTTTATTTATTTATTTTTGAACAAGGCAACTTGCCTTGGGGCCTTGTAACTGAGAAATAACTGCTTCACGAGTTCTTTATTTATTTATTTTTGAACAAGGCAACTTGCCTTGGGGCCCTGTAACTGAGAAATAACTGCTTCACGAGTTATTTATTTATTTATTTTTGAACAAGGCAACTTGCCTTGGGGGCCCTGTAACTGAGAAATTCCTATGAATGACTGCGGACTTGATGATTAACATGAGTGTCAACAAGTAAAATGCGTTTGTTGATTACCCAGATAATCTTTTCTTATGGGCACAACAAATGCACCCCTACGAGCTACTAAGGTCTTCATTTTTGTAATAAAGGACCATTTAGTTGCCTATGGTTGCTCCATACACCCCCTCCAGAATAACATCAATAAAAATTGGAGTTGCATACATTCTCAGACCTTGATTGGGGTTGGTTGGGGGGGGGGCGGGGGGGGGGGGACAGAAAAAAAGAAAAAATGGCTTCATAGAATAACTGCTTTTGTCTACCTCCCAAGTAGTATACACACCAGCATGTGATGCCATTGATAACATTCCTTTAGGCCAAGTCCCTTATATCATGCCTATAAATCATAGCTACCATCAAATTCATATACAACCACTCCAACCAACCAGTTGACCTTGCTTGGCTCTCGCTATAGATCCAAGTGCCAAACCTAACAATAGCTATTTTTTATGATCCTAACCCTAACAGTAGCTCCCATCTGAGGAGGAAGGTCCATGCAACAAATAACCAAACTCCCTCCATGGAACTCCCTAACCATTATGGTGAGCTACTCGAATGCAAAGTGGTAAGAGTCAACACCCTGGTGCCTTATCTGGTGCTCCTAAGCGGTTTAGGTGTTAAAGCCCTAGTTGAGTTCCTGATCATTCCTTGTAGAGGTGTGTAGTTTTATTTTTTGAAAGAAGGAAAGAAGACCTGTGCTGAACGTTTCTATATTGTCTCATACTGTTGGCTCTTTTGCAAACTTGGCAAGTCTTTCCTGGGTGTTTTCTTTTCCCTTTTCCTTTCATGCATCTTTTTAGCTTTGCCAACAATCCTGCTGATATAGATCTTTGGCTCTGACAGTGCTCTGATGAAATGTAGAACCTCAATCATGTGACTAAGAGTGGGGGTTTCATCCACGTTTGTTTATTGATTTAGTTTTGGAAGACAGTGGTTCCCCACTTAATTTTTTGAACCATAGAATTATGCATAATTCAAATTTCTGCTAACATTTTTTCATTGTTGGAACTTCAATGTTCCGGTCTCAAAAAGAAAAAGCTAAAAAGGATTGTCTGAGATATGATACGATTTTGGTGAAGTAATGAATGGGTGGCTTTTTGAACTGAGACCTCATTTGGGCAACGCATATGGTAGCGCATAATGTTGCATGCCTGAAGGTTCTTTATACCGGTTCAAAAGTGAAAACGAATTCAAAGTTGTAAAATATGAAATGCCTTAATAATTTGGTTTTGTGACTGCTTGTTTCGTCATTTGATGAGTTGATACGAATTTGATGCTCATGGTACTGGTAGTAATAAAGCAGTGACAGAAGCACCACCATTGACCCATAAGATGAACAAAAGGAGGGCCAATGCCACAGTTTACCTTAAACAAAATATGCTCACACTTTTTTCTCCTGCTCCAATACTCGAAGTGGCAAATTATAGTCTGAATTTGAGAAGTGATCATATCTTATATACTTTAGAAGCAGAGTTTAATGGTATCAATGCATTTTTTTGCAAACTTGAGAAGCGTTGAATCGCCAATGATGCAGTACTGTTGGAGCGTATTGAAGATAATTGATACTCTTATGGTTTGACATCCTGTCCTTGCATTTTGTTGGTTATTATTTAAAGGGAAATTTATCGAAAAATCTCTTTTTGTTTTTGAAAATTTAAAATTATCCCTTATTTTTTCATATTTTACTCTGTCTCAGTTTTTGAGACTTGATGGATCCCCCATTGTGAAAATGGCCATGCCATGGTCGTAGGATGCAGGGTTTCTGGGTCTTGGTATATGAAATCGCATCTGATAGAGATGGCACATAAGTCGAGTCCGTCACCATAGTCGGCCAATAATATTTCAGTCATCAGTGTTGATGACAAAGCTTTGGGCCTGATTGATGCATCCCATGCACACTTGCGTGCACTTCCTCCAAAGACATGCGTGCCTTTTCTTTGAAGATATCATAATTAAAACCCGATTATAGGATATTTAATAAAGGGCATCACTGGTGTTAGTGAACCTTGTAGCATGTCTTTCGCAGAGCAAGCTTTTCTTTCCTCTCAGGTGGTAGTCTGCTATGGAGGATATCGGCCAAGACAAGCTTGTGCCAATCCTCTGTATTTGTTTAAGAAGAAGTGATAACTCCCATTAAAGCAAGATCTAAAAGGATAGGGTGGAAACTTTTTTTGGGTGAGTCAGTGGGGAGAGGGCCCCTACTCTTGGTAGGAATTGAGGTTAGGATGTAGCGTTGCAAGTCGTCAATCACTAACCAATTAAGCTCGGGTTTTTTTCCTTGATAGGATGGAAACTTGTCCCAGAGGTTACACACTTCATCCCCATCAATTTTCACCATGTGTGGAAGTTTGTGCTTTGGATAGAGCCTGGTATTTTGCTTCATTATTCGAACAATTCTTTTCCAAGAAAAAGGTACAAGGGGCAACCCTTTATCTTGGTTATAAATAGGATTCTAGCTCTGGCCCTTTTTTTTTGAGATACACCATCAAAGAACAACTTACACTCTGGCTCCTCCCTAGTACACATGACTTCTTCATTAGATCTTCATTCATTGGAGATCTTCTAGAAGGGGATGAGTGGCTAAGAAACTAGCGACGGCTTGCATTTAATGGCCTTCTAGGGTATATATGTGATTTTGAATTCCATGAGAAGCGGTGCCCATTTAGCCAAGCTACCTAATAAGGTAGGGCATGTTATGAGATATTTTACGGGTTTGCCTGTGATATGATCTGTATAGGATGAGCTAACAAATAATGCCATAATTCTAAAGAGCAAACACTAATGCCTAACTTTTGGGGCACATCATTGCACGACTCAAATAATATAGGGTGACCTCCTTCCCTTCGTCGTTATATTGCGCAAGAAGAGTGCCAAGGGACCCTTCTAGAGCTGCTATACACATAATCAATGGCTTGCCCACTGTGAGGATTGGTTGTTT